TAAGGGCGGGTCAGAAAACCGAGGTGTAAATAGTTCAATAGACAAGATATCAATTGGCGAAAATGGGTCACTCGTTAAATAATGGGGTTGGGTTAGATTGAATTAGGACATATTTTAGACCCGGCCCAATTATTCGGATTATAAATTTTTTAACTTAAATAACCGTTTAAGTTGACTCGAGTAGTTCAGATCATTTATTCAAATTTTTATTTTTTATAAAAATAAAATATTAGTTCGTAAAATATCTATTTATTTATTTTCTAACATTTTATTAAAATTTGACCCTCAATTTAAAAAATTACTTACAAATAGTTGAATTTTATTTTTAATAGTGGCTAGAAAATAAATTATTAAAATAATAATGAAATTAAATAAACAAAAAATATTTTAAAGGTTCCATTTAACCCAATCTATTGTCACAATAACTCGTAAACCAACCGATCTATAAAGTTTTTTTATTAATTTGAAATCAACCCGATTCAAACAAGTTCATAACACAACCTAAATAGCACGAATTGAGTTGAATTGATCAAATTTTTTAAGTATTTTTTAAACACGTTTAATTAAATTATTTTTAGTAAGGTCGTTAGTTTTAGTTCACTCTACTTACCAAACACAATCAACCTAGGGGCAAAATGGTCATTTTGCCTCAAGCCTCGACAAAATGAAAGGAGAGAGAGAGAGGAAGAAGGAGGTTAGGGTTTTGGAAGGGAAAAGACGGAGAATACCAAGAACCGCCCCTAATCCGCCATTGAAGATCGAAAAATCCAGTCAAGAACGATAAACATGAGTTTTTGTTACTTTGAACGTCTTTATATCGTTCTGAGGACGAGTAACAATTTTAAGAAAACTATGTCGTTGTAGGTGGACTAAAACTCTACGATTAAGTGAACCAAGTAATAAGTTTTTCATTAGTTTGAAATCAACCCGATTCAAATAAGTTCATAACACAACCTAAATAGCACGAACTGAATTAAACTGATCAAATTTTTAAAAAATTTTTAAACACGTTTAATTAAATTATTTTTAGTAAGGTTGTTGGTTTTAGTTCACTCTACCTATCGAACAAAATCAACCTAGGGGCAAAATGGTCATTTTGCCCCAAACCCGGACAAAATGGAAAAGAAAAGAGAGAGAGAGAGGAAGAAGGAGGTTAGGGTTTTGTATGGGAAATGACAGAGAATACCAAGAACCGTCCCAAATCCGCCATTGAAGATCGAAAAATCCAATCAAGAACAGTAAACATGAGTTTTCGTTACATTGAACGTCTTTATATCGTCCTGAAAGTCGAGTAAAAATTTTAAGAAATATACGTCGTTGTAGGTGGACTAAAACTCTACGATTAAGTGAACCAACTAATCTATAAAGTTTTTCATTAATTTGAAATCAACCCGATTCAATATAAGTTCATAACACAACCTAAATAGCATGGACTGAATTGAACTGAACAAAAATTTTAAATATTTTTTAAATACGTTTAATTAAATTAATTTTAGTAACGTTGTTGGTTTTAGTTCACTCTACCGACCGAACACAATCAACCTAGGGGCAAAATGGTCATTTTGCCCCCGGACAAAATTAAAAGAGAGAGAGAGGAAGAAGGAGGTTAGGGTTCTGGAGGGGAAAAGAGAGAGAATACCAAGAACCGCTCCTAATCCGCCATTGAAGATCGAAAAATCCGGTCAAGAACAGTAAACATGAGTTTTTGTTACTTTGAACGTTTTATATCGTCCCGAGGTTGAGCAAAAATTAAAAAAAAAACATGTCGTTTTAGGTGGACTCGGTAACTTTTTTTCATATATTTGAACTCAACTCGACTCAAATAAGTTCTTAATACAACGAATTGAGTTGAGCTGATCGAGTTTTTCGAGTATATTTTAAACGTTGTTGATCAAATTATTTTTAATAAGAACTCTTCCATGATCTCGCAAGCAAAATAGTTTCAAAATCAGCGCTGCTTATGATTGTGATTCGCTGCCGGAGCCTGCTTTTCTTCCGCCGTCTCTGCCACTCAAGTCTCCAGCATCCGGTATCTCCTCGGCCTATTGATTGTGAATCATGCACCAACTACATAAAAAATTGCAGTACAATCAAATCCTTGAAATGTGTCCACGCTTCAATTCTCAAAGCCAATCTCCACCTCAACTTGTTCTTTTGCACTACTCTCATTTCGCAGTATGCGTCGCTTGGCTCTGTTTCTTACGCCTATTCTCTCTTCTCTTTGTTGCAATCTCTTGACGTTTTTCTCTGGAATGTCATGCTTCGTGGTTTTGTTGATGCTGGGTTTTATCGTAAGGCCATGCTTCTCTATGCCCAAATGCTGGATTTGGGTATTCGACCTGATAATTTTACGTTTCCATTTGTTTTCAAGGCGTGTGGGTTTGTGCAGGATTTGGATTTTGGGGTTAGGGTTCATTATGATGCTGTGAATTTTGGGTATGAGTTGGATGTTTTTGTTGCGAATTCACTCATTGCAATGTATGGTAGATGTGGGCGTTCAGAGCTTGCACGAGAGGTGTTTGATAAAATGCCTGAAAGAAATGTTGTGTCCTGGAGTTCAATCATTGGTGCTTATGCACAAAATGGTCAATATAGTTTAGGAGTGTCGTTGTTTTCGCTGATGTTGATTGAAGGATTTCAATTAAACAGGTCTGTACTGTTGAATGTCATGGCGTGCGTACACTCAGAGAAGGAAGCTGATGATGTTTTTCGAATGGCCATGGATCATGAGCTTGGTTTAAATCAATCAGTCCAAAACGCAGCAGTTGGTATGTATGCACGATGTGGAAGAATTGACACTGCTGAAGAGATCTTTAATGGAATTCATAACAAGGACTTGGTGTCGTGGGCATCGATGATTGAAGCTTACGTGCAGGCTGATCTTCCCCTGAAAGCTATGGAGATTTTCAGAGAAATGATACTCAAAGGTCTTCTGCCTGATTCTATCACCCTTTTGGGTGTGATTCGTGCTTGTTTAGCTTTAGGATCTTTTAGCCAGGCGTGTTTCGTACATGGTTTTGTTATCCGAAGGTTTTTCGGGAACCAAGTAGTGGTTGAAACTGCCATTGTTGATCTCTATGTCAAATGTGGAAGTTTAATATATGCCAGAAAAGTTTTTGATAACATGAAGGAAAGAAATGTTATCTCATGGAGCACCATGATATCAGGCTATGGATTACACGGCCATGGTAGGAAGGCAATTTGTCTCTTCAATGAGATGAAGAACACAACCAAGCCTGACCACATAACATTTGTATCAATATTAGCGGCTTGTAGTCATGCTGGTTTGGTTGCAGAAGGATGGGATTGCTTCAATGCCATGTCTAGAGATTTTGAGCTGAAACCGGGATCCGAACATTATGCTTGCATGGTCGATCTCTTAGGTCGAGTCGGAAAGCTTAAAGAAGCTCGTGAGTTTATCTCGAAAATGCCAATTAGACCCAATGCTGGGGTTTGGGGTGCATTACTTGGGGCATGTAGAATACATTCAAATGTAGAAATGGCTGAAGTTGCTGCAACGAATTTACTCGAGTTGGACCCGGAGAATCCTGGGAGATATGTTCTTCTGTACAATATATATCTGTCATCTGGAAAAAGAAAAGAAGCAGACCAGATTAGAGCTCTTATGAAACAAAGAGGTCTGAGAAAAATTGCAGGCCACACGATTATTCAGATGAAAAACAAGGTTCATACGTTTGTGGCCGGGGATCGATCTCATCCACAAACTGAAATGATTTACTCCGAGTTGGATAAAGTGATTTATAGGATTCAAGAAGAAGGGTATACCCCTGATTTGAATTTTGTATTACATGATGTGGAGGAAGAGACGAAGGAAAAGCTTCTATATGTGCATAGTGAAAAGCTTGCTATTGTTTTTGGGCTCTTGAATTCTGGATCAGGTAGCCTCATTAGACTTCAGAAGAATCTCCGAGTTTGTGGTGATTGTCATACTTTTACGAAGTTCGTATCGAAGGTTGCAAGGAGAGAAATTATAGTAAGAGATGCTCGTCGGTTTCACCAATTTAAGGACGGTACTTGCTCGTGTGGAGATTACTGGTGAGTTCCATATATTGATGTGAGATCTCACATCGGTTGAGGAGGAGAACAAAACATTCTTTATAAGAGTGTGAAAACCTCTCCCTAGCAGACCGCGTTTTAAAAACCTCAAGGGAAAGCCTGAAAGGGAAACCCTAAAGAGGATTGGGCTTGAGCTGTTACAATTGTTACACGAAGAATGACCGAAAGGGAAACCCTAAAGAGGATTGGGCTTGAGCTGTTACAATTGTTACACGAAGAATGAAATGCACATGCACCAGAGCTTGATCAACTCCTAAAAACGACGGTACTTATGATTCTAAACGCTTGCTTACCATGGATTCTAGTCTTTTAATTGATTTATTCATATTAAAGTCTTAAGAATTTCGCTTTGCTGGCCAGTAATGCTAGTCATTAGTTCAATACTACTTTAAAGATAACCATGGGTCGTGCATGTCATGTTCTTGTTCAATTTATGTGCTTAATTTTAGATTGATCATTGCCCTTTCTAGCATTAGCCTTCTATTCTTCAGGTATCAATCTCCTGAGTCAAGTTGAGTAAGCTACTATTTTGCTTAATACAGTATACAAAATCCCAAGGATTTGGCTCTTGAGTTGAGTAGAAGAGCCTAACTCTTAGCAATCCTCTGCCATTAGTCTAAGAACACCTCAAGAACCTTGCCAAGTTAGTCCTCCCGATCTGTTTAGTTTATGCTTATAGCGTTCGGACTCGTGTGCCTTCTAGAACTAGGAGTTTTCGAGCTTGCTGCGTATGATTAACTAGCATTGCAGCGGCAAAAGGATTAGACGTCCTCCCATACTATGGTTCCCTGCAACCCAAACCTAGTGCCACATTAGGTTAGGGAGTTGGGGCAATAATAGCTCCTCCACATCCCAAAGCGCGCTGCCCTTCTAGGCACGCAACACTAAGTAATCCAAGCCAACCCACATTATTGACTAACGGTGAATAATAAAAAAAGGGAACGTCTTCATTTTTTTTTTTTTTTTTTGGAGGAATATTAGTATGTTCTTGTGTAGTTTGGTTATTGTATGCCCTGCTCCCTAGTGATGGCTAATGAGTATATAACTCCTTGATAAAGAATTCATTAGATACTAAAACAACTGATTGGAAGTGGGGATTTATAAAGTTGAAAGAGAACCCATTCGAGAACAACGAACGAGGTTAAAAACTATCTAGTGTGACTTTATTTCATGGTCAACTCAACTGGCACTGCATCAATATATAGGGCCTTTATCTTTATCTGAAAAATGATAAACATAGGATGAATATTTAAAAATATTCGATAAGTGACAACGATCACAAGGAGAAATGGGCAATGGAAAAGCTTCATTTCTTCAAGCCAGTAGCATCCTTGACAGAATCAACTGCATCCTGGGCTTTGACCATCATCTGTTGTCCTGCATCTTGTATCGAATCTTTAGTTGATTGGGCTGCATCACTTGCCTTGTCCATCAAATTACTCGCCTTTTCCTACATATTCATATAAATCAATAGGTTACCAACTTGAGTATGAGATCAAATATGAACTGTGCAAGGCAAAGTGAACCTGTGCTTGGCCTTTGGCTTCTCCAATTTGATAGCTCAGGTTCTGAGAGTTGTCTGCCATTTATTTTTACAGAGGAATTCAAAAAACACACTTCTGGTGATTAATCTTTTGTTTTTGTTGATTAAGAACATTTCTGGTTGTGATTTTATAGGGTAGTTTGGATCCAAACATTGCTTGATTAGAGTTTTAAGAAGGTGACACTTGTCATGATGTGGTTGGAGCTGTTCTACTTCAGGGCCAATTGACCAGGTCAGGTTTTGGAGTTGGAGAATGTTTCAAATCAACTATGTACCTATATAGTTTCTAAACAACTTACAAGACATTTAAGATTGTTAGGACAATGAAACGTTCACATTGTTAGGAATCACGGATCTCCAAAGCTCTCATAGGCTTATCCAAAAGGTCTCGTACCAATGGAGATAGTATTCCTTGATTATAAATCCATGATCATTCTCTAAATTAGTCATGTTGGACTTTCATCCAACACCTCCCCTCGAACAAAGTACGCCTTCCTTTGATTGAGGCTTGACTCTTTTTTCTTTTTGGAGTCTTAGTCATTTTTTTCTATGCCTTCAAGGCTCACAATACTTTTGTTCGACATTTGAGGATTCTATTGACATGACTAAATATAGGGCATGACTCTGATACCATGTTAGAAATCACGAATCTCCACAATGGTATAATATTGTCCACTTTGAGCATAAGCTCTCATGGATTTGTTTGAGCCGAGCCTCGATTAAGAGGAAGCGTACTTTATTCGAGGGGAGGTGTTAGATGAAAGTCTCACATCGGCTAATTTAGGGAATGATCATGGGTTTATAATCAAGAAATACTATCTTTGAGATCTTTTGGGGAAGCCCAAAGCAAAGCCATGAAAACTTATGCTCAAAGTGGACAATATCATTCCATTTTAGAGAGTCGTGTTCATCTAGCACACACATATCTCCGTCAACTATATGATATTGTGCACTTTCGGTTTAAGCTCTTTAAACCTTATCTAAGTCGGGTCAACTAGAAGCTGATTGAAGATTTATTTATTTATTTATTTTTAAATGTGAATTAATAAGACAATGAGTTTTTCTTATCTAAAAAAAATGATGTCAGTTTTGTAGTGGGTGAAACTATTTTATGTGACTACATTTTATGCCTCATAGTCATTTATTAGGTATTTTTAAATATTCAACTCACGTTTAATAATTTTTTCAATATAAGAAAGGACCTCATGTATGGATGACGGCGTTAACCGAGGAGGCCATGGAACCCATACCAGATGGATTTAAGTTGTAGACCATGTTAGATTAAGATACGAGCATTTTATTTCGAAACTTTGATAAGAGACGTTATTTTTCTGTTTCCATCTATGTTATTATTAATTTCTATTGATTATGTTTGAAATGAATTTATGCACGTATAAGCCTACTTTCGGTTATGTAAACCTCAAACATTATATTCACACTCTCATTTTACCGAAAATCAATGTAAAAAAATGAGCCCATATATGATGTACGCGTCCCTACAAAACATACTTGGGAAGTAGCCTGTGCTCGTGACATACATGGATAGATCCCGCATTTTAAATCACGGTACGTGGTTATAATGCACATCATACTTTCATATTATGACATAACTTTCCTATGATATATACATACATGTGTATGATACATAATTCATACTTGTCATGCATAGAGATGCCCGTTCTTACTCCCTTTTTTATTCTTCACCCGTGCAAAAATTTTCATTTACTTTTACAAGGAGATCGTGATGAGGAGGAACACATCGGGATTGGGTTCCCCACACAATTTTTTTTTTTTTTTTAATTTTAAAATAGTTCTTCGCCATCATTTCTATTTTACAATATAATTTTTATTAAAAAAGATAAACAAAAATCTAATATAAAGTTTTACTAATATTATAATATAATTTTTCACATTAAAAAAAAAAAAAACGGAATTGGAAAAGTTTATCTAAACGGAACACAATCCCTGTTCGTACTTCGTAACTCAGTTTATCCAACGAAGAAATTAAAATGTCTCCATGCTCCCTCCCCATTCTTCGTTTAAATGAGAACAACCCACCCCATTTGAAGCAGATTACCCAAGGATAAATGAACATCTCTAATTATACATGACTTGGCTAATTAAATATGAAGGATTTATAGTCAATCACGACCACTCATGTGACTGGGCAAGACTAATTCTTCGAAGATTTTCAAAGTTGTACCAAAAATGGAGTCGAAAACTTGTAACCCTTTAGGAAGCATTTCTAATATTTTTACCGAGTTGAATTAGGTCCAATTTTTTTCTCTAAATAAACAGGTATCGATCTCATTAAAATAAGCCAATTCCATAATAATTAGATCGAGAACAAGAAAGCCATAACACCTACCTACCGATTGCAATTATTCCCCGAACAAATTACCAAAAAAAGAAGAAAAAAAAACGCTACGTTTTCCCCTTTAAGAATCTTTAATGAAGCTCAAAGCCTTTGACATTTACACACAAAATACTCAAATTGAATAATTATTTTGAAAGATGAGACATTTTCAAGTAAGAACACAACGTAAAAGTGCAACCATTTAATGTGAAAAGGCATACTTTTAGAAATGGATGATGATGCATTCATATGGTTCAACTTTAGAATCATTCATTCATTTTTAAATTTCCAAAATTAAAAATTTCCCCTTTTTAATTTATGGGAGTAGGTTTAATTTGGTGAGTCTCTTTCCCGCCCCGCTTTACACCGAACAATAATTTTATTTTTAAGTCAAACAACGAGGGAGTCCTTCATAAATACCCTTATTTTGAAAAGATATAAAAAATTGCGATAAAGACCCTCAACGTTCACAAACATTTCGAGACTGCCCTTAAAGTAAAATGGTTTAAGACCCTTAACGTTCACAAACATTTCAAAACTACCCTTAAAGTAAAATCGTTTAAGACCCTTAACGTTCAAAAACATTTCAAGACTGTCCTTAAAGTAAAATCGTTTAAGACCCTTAACGTTAAAAAACATTTCAAGACTGCCCTTAAAGTAAAATCGCTTAAGACCCTTAACGTTCACAAACATTTCAAGACTGCCCTTAAAGTAAAATCGTTTAAGACCTTTAACGTGCACAAACATTTCAAGACCGCCCTTAAAGTAAAATCGTTTAAGGCCCTTAACGTTCAAAAACATTTCAAGACCGCTTTTAAAGTAAAATCGTTTAAGACCCTTAACGTTCAAAAACATTTCAAGACTGCCCTTAAAGTAAAATCGTTTAAGACCCCTTAACGTTCACAAACATTTCAAGACTGCCCTTAAAGTAAAATGGTTTAAGACCCTTAACATTCACAAACATTTCAAAACTACCCTTAAAGTAAAATCGTTTAGGTCAACGCTTCATGGTTCCAAGTTTCAGTTTTGATCGAAAACTCTAAAGAATTACTCTAAGGGTAGTTTTGGTTTTGGAATATTTATGAAAAGTTAAGGATAAAATTGTAATTTTGAGAAATAGAGTTTGTTTTTTAAATGATAACATTCTAGTAGTAATGGAATAATGAAGTGTAGTTAGGTGAAAGTTTGAAAATTTAAAGTTAATTAAAAATGTCTCTAAATTATCATTTTTAAATAAATAAAAAAGTTTAAATTTCATTAATAAAAAAAAAAAAGAAATTATTAAATTTTCATTAAAATTATTTATTCATTGCCATTAAATTTTCTTTAAACAAAATTTAAATAAAACTATAATTTTAATTTTAAAATCTTAAATTTTACTTGCAACAAAAAATCATTTATTTTTTAAATGGGCTAAATTAATAAAATATATCTGTATTTTCAAAATTTTAAATGGGTATCTCCTCCTTTTCAAAAATACTCTTAAACTTTGTACAGTATTTCAAAAATCCTTTTAAATATTAATTTTTTTTATTAATATTCTTTAATTAAAAAGATTTAAAAATATATTTACTATCGATATCAATTTTACAAAAATATCTTTAAAATTTTAAAAATAACATTAACCATTTATTTTTATAAAAAAAAATTAAAAATTTTTGTACTGTCTATCCACACTTCATAAATTATGTTCAAACATTTTAATGTTATTTACTGTAAGAATACCTAAAAAAAAGTTTAAATGTATTTTTAAAATTTTTTAAAAAAATTAAAAAGTATTTTTGAAGATTTTTTAAAGAGTGTTTTAAAATTTTGTAGTGGAATTTTGCGAATAAGGACAAAAAAATGGTCACTTTCATAAAATAATGAATCAAATGTGAAAACGTTTGGACCTCGTTTTTTTTTTACACGGTTACTTTTCGATGGGTTTAATGTAAATAATAGTAGTTATTATTTGTAGATCAATTTTGAATTTTTATTATAATCCAATTTCAACAACAAACACAAAATTAATTAAAATTAAAAAGAAAATGTCGTTGAAATTTTGAATATTGAAATGAAGCGGCTCTAGCTCTAGCTCATTGCCGATAGAAATGGTCTTATTTAGGTTTTTACTTTCGGACTTCCAGTTACGGTTTTTAGAACGTGTATGCTAAAGAGATGTTTCTACGTCCTTGTAACAGACGTTTGGTTCTCGTTCCCAATCGATGTGGGATCTTAAAATCCACTCCCGAGGTTTTTATACCCTTATAAAGATATTTCGTTCAATTCTCCAACTGATGTGGGATCTGACAACATTACATGTATATTAGAAATTGTCTTATTTGAGTGTTTCCTTTCGGACTTCCCCTCGAGATTTTTAGAACACGTATGCTAAGGAGATGTTTCCATACCCTTATAAAAAAAACGTTTCGTTCTCCTCTCCAATCGATATAAGATCTCACAATCCACCCTCGAGGTTTTCATACCCTCATAAAAAATATTTCGTTCAATTCTCCAACTGATGTGGGATTTGACAACATTACATATATATATTCTTATGTCTATATATATATAAGAAATTGTCTTATTTGAGTTTTTTCTTTTCCGATTTTCTCTCAAGATTTTTAGAACGTGTCTGTTGAGGACATGTTTCTACACCCTTGTAAAAAAAACGTTTCGTTCTCCTCCTCAATTGATGTGAGATCTCACAATTCACACCCGAGGTTTTCGTACCCTTATAAAAAATACTTCGTTCAATTCTCCCACCGATATAGAATCTAACAAAATATATATATGTGTGTATATGTATATGTGTGTATATATATACATACATATGTGTATATATATAAATGAAAAATTATTTGTATACATAAAATTAAGAAACATCAACCTATCAACATATTCAATTTAAAATTGGATCATCGAGATATAAATTACGATCGAATTGACTTTATTTATGAAATTTGAGTTTTCTATTTAATTCTTAGATTTAAAAAT